GACATCCTGATCAAGAGAGACTGCAAATCGCCATGACAATACGTTGTGCTTTCCCACCGCCTAAAAGTGCCTCCGAGTGCAAGCAGCGAAATCAGAGTGCTGATCAAGCCTCGAGGTGGGCGACGATCTGCTCCCCGTACTCCAAGCGCAGCTGCAGGGGAAGACTTTCCGAGGTCACTTGAGGCTCAGTCAGAAATTTGGACGAGTGAGGGTGGACAAACTTACGAATGCAAGTTAAGCAAACCGTGTCGCAAGGCATCTTGCAAAGTTAGTTACAAGTGGTTTGTGCATAAATCTTCGGTCTGTTCGACAAACCTCCGAAACGCTGCAGCCTAAACCCCAAAGCCCAAAATGTCCGACCGGAGCACGAAGCCCTGTCCTGAAAACTCCGAACCATGAATCCCAAGCGAAGACACTGTTTGAGACCCCGATGTGCGGCAGGGGGCTGCTGTCTGCTTCTCGAGCAGAGCTTGCAGCCTCTGAACCTCGTCAGGTTGTTCTCATCATCACTGCCGCCTTTGTTCTTCGTCATGACCAGACTATGTTTGTCATTGCTTAGCACTTCCGCAACCAAGGCAACGTCCAGCGTTGGAAATCATGACTTGTCCTGGTGTTAATTACTGGTGCTGCGACTCGTGCCTACTATTCTTGTTGTCATTAGTACTGTTCGATCGCTGGCATCATAGTTTCTCTTGAAGTGTTGCCTTCCTCGCAGTGTCGTTACGGTCATGGTTACCGTCACTGCCACTCTGCTGCTACACGCTTTCTACTACGCTTGTCACTGCTATTGCTATCACCCCTGTTGGTGCCATCATGGCTTCCAGAACTTTCGAGACTAGCCCTTGGTAACTTACTCTTTGCTGCCTGCACCCAGACTTTCAGCATCGTAGTTATGACCGTATCGCAGCTGTCATCTCAATCTCTGCTAGCACTAGCTGCCGTAGAAGATTAACATGACTCGCGTTGACTGTTAACTATTCCTCTTGCCACTCTTCGAAGCTTCGAAGTTGTCACTACTACCACAACTGGCAGGGTCATTTTCACGGCAGCATCAGCATCAGCATCAGCAGCAGTAGCGGCAGCAGCAGCTGCAGCAGCAGCAGCAGCAGCAGGAGCAGCGCGCTTGTCACTTGGAGGTTCTTTAAAGCAGGGCTGAGCTAAGGGGGTAGGGCTTCGGACTCAGCCAAACGAGTAGACCTATCAGGAACAAGTGTTCTTGGTGATGTTGCTATGCGGACCATTTATGTAACAGTCTTGCTCTTACTGTTGCTGTTGATTCAAAAAGGGTTGTTGACCGTTGTCAGCAACTTGGGAAAGTGGAGCAGCTTCGATCGTGCAAGCAGATCAAGCAGCCTTTGAGACTTAATCGTGGGATACCTTAGTTATTACGGATGCACGTACAAATCTGCAGACTGCTTTCTTCACAAGTATGAAAGTCTAGGCAGCAACAGTTCCAAGGAAGCCTGGGTAAGGTTCGCCGAATGAATCCCATCAAGTGCCAGCCAGAACTAGGAGACAAAAGGCTCTCGTACCTTAAGAACGCTTGCACTGGCCTTGTGGAACCCGTATAAAGACCCTGTAGTAACCTACTAGTTGTGATGCTTCCATTTGGGGCAGCCTCTTCACCAACTTCGCGCCCACAGTCATCGTGAACCTGGGAGCTCCACGCAGATTGCAGCCCGTCTGTCAAGACATCAGCCTTCAGTAACTCGCTGCCTTCGTCCAGAAGCTGCCAGCATCTGTCTCTTAGGAATCCCCAAACAGCCGTCTTTAAGACGAGAGCGACGATGCGTTTGTGGAATCCAGCATATGGGGGTTTCTGAAAATAGGGGACCCTAATATAGTACCCTAAGTAATAGGATCCCTATTATAAGGACCCCCAAAATATGGTACCCTAATTTTCTGAAACTCCCATATCTTGTCAAGGCACAGTCTCCCTCTGCGACTGCTCTTTGAGGAGTTCTACTCGGCAGTCGTCCAATCTGCTGCTGATCGACTCCTGTGTGGATGCCACAATCGACAACGAGATGAGCGCGGAACGCTTTATGGCGACGGACGTATAGTTTGGGCAACTCCGACGGCAAGTCCGTGTTTAAGGATTGCTTGGATCTGTAATAAATAATTCGCATAGTTACATCCTATTTTGTCAGTAAGATGGCCAAATCGGGAAAAGGATTGAATCTTGTTCTGATGTTATCGAAGTGTTGGCATTGCCTGGGTTGAATATTGTGCCGGAGGAAGAATAGAATAGAGTGCTTCACGGAAGGCGGGGGAAAGAACGAGAAAGGCCGAGAAAGTTGGCGGAAGTGCCACGACAAGCACGCAGCCTCTCTCAAAACCGAAATCCTGACAATCATGCAGACTACATGTTAAACCTGCCCACACTGCCTGCCTCGTGCTTCTGCTCTGCCTGCTGCCTTTCGGAAGCTGCTTTCTGCAGGTCCTCATGACATGCCAAATTTCGTGCGAACTATCTACACTCCAAGAACCAGAATCAACGCCCCTGTCCGACAGCATGCTGCTTTCCACGACCTTCAGCTCCTTTTGCCTGCTCCACCGGTCAAAAGTCCGGATGTGACGCAACTGGGGGATCGTGGCCAGATACACCCGTGAACTGTCGATGCCTTCGTTCATCGTGGATCTCTTCTGAGACACGTAGGGCATGCAGACCTTCCAAGCGCTGTCTGATTGGGGCCGAGGCCCCTTCAATAGGGAGGGGGCCAACTGTTGGACAAAGGGAAGGGGGGCCCAACAACAACAATGGACAGTGGTTGTTGTTTCGGGAAAGAGGGGAGGCCAACAACAACAGGGAGAGTTGTTGCTGGAAAGAAACAGAAGCAGAACAGAAGGGTTGTTGTTGTCCGAAGAACAAGAAGAAGGTGGAGCAGAACAACAACAGGCGTGCCAAAGAGCAGAGGCGCGGGAAGGTTGATTGTTGCTCCAGTAACAAGGGATGTGGTTCTTGTTGTCGCTCGAAGAACTACAACGGAGACAACAACAACAACAACAACAACAGCAACAACAACAACAACAGGAGGAGGAGGAGGAGGCGGGGACAAGAACAACAATCGAAGAAGGTGTTGTTGTTGTTGTTGTTGTTGTTGGCAGGTGGCGCGTTTGACGCCGTGAAGGGTGGAGCGATTTCAGGGATGCAACGTGCCAAAGCTCGAGTTCGGCACATGGCAGTCCTAATTACCCTTTGCATGTTGTATCGGTGTTTTACAGTGTTCCCTGAAAAATCAAGATTTTCAAGGCTGCAATGTGCCAACACTTGACTTTTCGCACATGGCAGTCCGGACTTCTGTCGGCATCTTCACTGATCTGTGGCTTCTCCGTTTGCGTTTTTTGCTTGCAAGTCGGCTGCTTTCTTCTTTGGATTCGCTGTGTCTGTGCTGATTGTTGCTTCCGTGCAGGGTGGGGAGTGCGGGATGGGGGCGATGATGACGTCCATGCCAATGCGCCTTACATGCAGTGTTTTTTTGGCTTCCGTGCAGGGGTGGGGAGGGCGGGATGGAGGGGGGGAAGATGACGTCCATGCCAATGCGGCTTACATGTAGTGTTTCTTCTTTTGGGTTCCGGGGATGAGAACGTCCATGCGAATGCATCACACGGACCACGTAGCTTCGAACCGTGCGAACACTCACTGTGTGTGTGTGTGTACGCTCCGTCTGTCTAGGGTTGGAGGTAGGCTTTCTGGGTTTGGGTTCTCCGTCCTACACTCAAGATGTTAAGCTCCGGGTCCTATGACACAAATGATGACGAAAATGATACTGATGATCTTAAAGCTCCTGCATATGATGATGTCCATAGTGCTTATATGGGATGCCACAAACGTTGGTCATGATTGCCTTGACCGTGATGAGGATAGTGAGGATGATGATGATGATGCTGATGATCATGATGATGACGGTCATAAAAATGTTGCTCCTGAGTAGGAAGATTTGAGTAAGCATGATGGTTATTATGAGTGTGATGTTGATGTTGGCGATTGTTGATGCGGCGGATAACGATGGCGATGAGGATAACAACGATGGTAACAGTGACAATGACAATGGTGTTTTTGTTGCTGCTGTTTTCATATTAGTTGTCAAACACTCACAACACAAAAGTCTTGCGTTTCTGCGGGCTCTCCAAACAAAAACTTTAAAAACAAACCTCAAGCAAGGCCAAACGACGAAAACCACGGTATTTACGATGCAACAAGACAACAAACATTGAAAACAAAGAGCAAGTGGGGTGGTGGGGTGGTGGGGTGGTGGGGTGGTTTTTGTTGTTGTTGTCGTACTACTGCAACTACTGCGATCACGACTAACACTGGAGGAGGGGGCCAAACAACAACAATAGGGGGACAGAGGGAGGGTTGTTGTTCGAAGCACGAAGGGGGGTCAACAACAACAACAACAACAACAAGAACGTTGAGAGGGGCTGTTTTTGTTCGAACAATAAGCGGAGAGAGGGGTCAACAAGAGATGGAGGGAGGAGCAGGGGGAAGGGGGGGATTGTTGTTGTTGCCGTTGCTATTGTGGCTGTTGTTGTTGTTGTTGCTGCTGCTGCTGTTGTTGGAACAAACGGGGAGGTCAACAACAACAGAGGTGGGGGAACAACAAGCCCCCACCCCTTCCATCGAGTGGTATGAAGGGGTCGGCGTTAGATGTCCCCATCCTACGTGGGATTGATGTTTCCAGACCAGAAACCACAAGCAAATGCCTCTTGACCGCCTCATGTTTCTAAGCCATGCACATAACCAAAACGGAAGCGCACCCTGGAATGCACCCTGGACCACTCTCGTTCCAGGGCCAGCTGACACACGCCACAGGGGAATGATAAGGACGGGACCGAAACAGTACACCCCGGACCACAAGAAATAAGCGCACCTACCTTCGACCACCGAAACAGTGCAGCCTAGCCAGCTCACCTCCGTGCCATTTCCACAAAACAGCGTGCGTATTTGTGCATGTTCAAACTCCTCAATATTTCACATGTACAGAGAAGGAGTTCCCCTAGTTTGCGCATGCAATGCCTCTCACGTTGACAGTAACCCCGCCGCCTGCTCAACTTAGAGCAAAAACGTTGCCCCCCCCAGCGGCAACCCTTGACCCTGAAGGGTATATCAAGCACACAGGCCAAACATGACATGATCTGAGCGGATGTGACTGTGCATTGCCGGGCCTTCTTGCAGCCTCTTGGCCTGCTCACAGAGGGTCTGGATCCGGGAGCCTTCGCCCTGAGACGAAAGCTCGGGCACAAGAAAGCGCGCTTAAAGGATCATGGGACTTAGTAAGTAGGGTTCTAATTAGGGTAACTATACTTATAACCCCAATTGGGGGACTTATAACCTTACTTACTAAGTCCCATGATATCCCATGATCCTCCAAGCAGAGGGCCCCCCGGCAGCCTCCGTGATCTGCCCGATGCGCTGCTCAAGAAGGGCCACACGCTTCTCCATCTGTGCACCAACTCAGGGTTTTTGGGCCTATAGGGCTTGAAACTTCAGGGGTCCGAGATCTGAGGCCTTGATCTTTCTGGCTTTAGGCTCTTCGCACGAACTTCACCACACCGTGATGTCGGACCTCCGCCGGTGCGCAGTGGGCGTAGGACTTCCTCGGCAAACACCACAAACATTCAGCCGCTCGTACGGTGGGTTGTCGTGCACATGGCCTCCTGAACCATCGACTCCAAATACAAAGAAACTGATTAGAAGGATGATCGTCAAAACCTTTCAAAAACCGCTGTGTCGGAAGAACGTGCGTTCTGATTCGTCAAATGCTGCGGCTGAGAGACTCCAGCTGCAGCAACATTTCGCCGAGGTTGCGAGTGCGTCTGGGCGCTTCCTGGATAACACCGAGATACACCGAGCCCAAGGCCTAGACAGCCGGAAGAAACACAAGATGCCGCAGGCCTGCAAATCACCAAACAATTGCGCGGCACGCGTGTCGTGAGACCTCAAGCACATGCCATGCAGGCGACATCTGATAGAAAGGGTGCACACAACCTCTACAATGATTCCAAGGCGTCGAAACTCGGCTCACTGCAACGGCTCGGTGAGGACCTTGGCCGACACGGCACGCCTGCTGCGGAGAGTCCCGGGGCTGGGCGGGCCTGCAAAGCATCGCGCTTCTCCGGTGAGAACCTCATGCTCGCGGGGTCGCAGCTCTTATCTCAGCCCGTTGCTTCGACGTTCAAACCTGTCATCTCAGAACAACCTGCCGCCATCAGAGCCCCCGGCTTTGCACTAGGAGACGCCTCAGCATTTTAGATGAAGCTTCTGAACTTCTTATACACTTCTGATGCCATGCACACTTGCACCTAAGCATGAACGGCTCCTTCGACATGGCACAACCCACAGCTGTTGTGGCAGCGAAGCTTGGCCCTTGGCTATGCCGCAGTGTCTGCAAAAGGCCTGGCCATAACTCTGATGTACCGTGCATGCCTACTGTGACTGGGCACAGGCTCAGGGATGCTCAGGGCGGCACCCATCTATTCAGGACAGGGTTCCCGCAATTGGTGCATGAAGCCTCTGCGCTGGGTCAAGACTTTGGCGGGCGACACGAGAGAAAGGAAGGGACATGCATGCACACCCAGTGCCCTGCACAAGCCCTAGGCTGGCGCCTCGTCCGCAGCCATTCTTGCATGAAGCGCGGCAAACTGCGTTTCGGCGCACATTCAAAATCGGTTCCCTAAGTACTTCATGAGATTCACTCGGACTCATCATGAGGCCTGCCCGTAGCACTATCTTTGTATGTCTATGCTGATGGCCAAGCCATCTTTCTGGCTAAAACGCATCGACAGGGATTTTCGGCAAGGCAAGAACCTTCCCGCACGGCACAACAGGGGTTTCACTCTGCACTTCTTTGGCAAGCAGCTCTGCGACACTCCGCTCCTCCGCAAGCCAACCTACGAATCCTACGTGAAGCGAGAATCGACGGAAGAGAAACGGTGGATACAGCAAGTCTTTGGCTGCTCAGTTCCCATCTGCTCTGCAGGCCTGTGCAAAGACAGGATTTAGGGGGTGCTGCAGTCTATGTTGCAAGGCCAGCTTCGCAATGCTGTAAAGAAATATTTTTGCGGACAATTACTGTGTACGCTAGGGCTGGAAGCCGAGCCTCGTGCTAGCGCTTCTGCACGGCAGCCTCAACAATCAAGAGGCCTGGCCGAGAGGTTGCTTCAAATCTGACCTACTCCAGTATCACTCATATCAACAATGACAGCAGGACAATCAGAAGAACACCGAAACGATGAGCATTACTATTGCTAACATGCTCATACAACAACAAGTAGCAGTGATGCCCACTTCTTTCTTGTTTCAAAGGGGCTGGGTACCTGGACCTCCTTCAGCTGCTGGCGCTGGTACGCCACGAAATCCTTTGCTAGTCCAGGCGAATCATGGCACATGGCCGCAGGGGGCACAACATGAATCATAAATTCAAGGCAGCTTGGGTGCATCAAACTGCTGAGTGAACGTGCTGCTGTACATCGCGGTCAGCTGCCTTGGCAAACAGGCTGCAGCAGAGAGGATTGGCAAGAGAAGGACACCCATCGAAGGTACGAAATCTCGAGTCTCCCGTACCGAATCCGCCCCCAGCGACAGCTACAAGTGCCGGCAACAGGGTTCTTTCACAGCTTTAAAAACTGATCCCAGTCTCAAGCATATTCTCGATGTCATTAATTAATTACAACGGCTGCAACATCCATGACTCCCCGTAACATCGTAAGTAATTATGTTCAATGCTCTCAGAACTCTTGGTATGGTCAGGAGTGCTAGTGCCACAGCAGCATGGCTAGGCAGCAGCAATTATTGGTATTGCTCATACTGTCACCACTACGTAGCCCCACTTGTATTATGCCGCCGGAGCTGCAGAGAGCCGTCTAGAATCCCAGCATGAGCCTCCCAGCACAGCTGATCTTAAGTGCTCACGAAAGGCTTGCCTCGGTCTAGGTATCTTGAAAACGGCATCATTAAAGCACTTGGACTTCCTTCTCTCGTCGCAAGCTCGGCAAGGAACAGCAAGCAGGAATAGCGATCTTGGGCAGCAAAGCCCTGTGGAAAAGCAGTTTGGCAATGTGAAGACATGGGCCCGTCCTGCATCAGCGCAACACGCTCCCATTCCTCCGCGGTCTCATCCCGCAAGACGCCCAGTGCGACAGGTGGCTCCCCTCCCAAGGTCGAAAATTGGGACTCAGGGCATCGAATCCCCGACGCAATTCTCGGGGCCTTGCTCTGCCTCGTACGGCCTACCCTGCCGGTAGACTTGCTGGATAGGCCGGAAGCTTGGCCCGTACCTTGCGGACGAGATTGGGATGCGGGGGAGCCGGAAAGCGGCAGAGTGACATGTCTGCCGTGAGTTGCTATGCCGTCAAGACACCCCATGGCACCCAAGCGGAAGGCAATGTAAAGACCTGCCAACCGCCGTATGGATCTTATCCCTCCGCGACTGCCTTCCAGATCTGCACACCATCGAGAAGGCTTTCATTGGCTGTCATCTCAATTGGTGCACACGGATGCAGCCTCCGCCAGGGAAGCCTCGGGCAGCAGCTCCGGGGATCAACGGACTGCATCCAAGCCCGCGCTGCATCCAAGCAGCCCCGTGCGTCGAAGGAGATCGCATGCTGCATGGGATTGAGGGGTGCCCTGCCGACCATGGACTCGGCCTCATCGACCGAGACCTGCGAAGAAAGTCGAACTACGAAGCTCCCAGCTGTTCCACACAGCGAGAGACCTGGAAGTACTGGGCAGAAGCTTGGATGTACCACTTGTACACGTCGGGGTCCTTGTCAAAGGTCTTGACTTGCAACATGAAACATCTGCTTATGCATCGTCGTGCGGTCCTCCAGAGCGCCCCACAGGCTCGCAGCTACGTCTTGACCGTCCACCCCCTGACCGCATCTGATGGCAGAGAGCAAGACAAGACTTCCTCCCCCTGGTGCGCCGGAAGGCACGATTGAGAGCGTTTGAGATGGTACAAGACTCTGTGCATGACCATTACATCCTAGCATGCGGAGCCAACCTGGTACAGGCGCAGCTGCGTGAGTGCCTTCTCGAAGCCTCGACATCTCTCTCTCTCTCTCTCTGACATTCATGCCTCATGCTGTTCAAAAACGACCGGAGTGCGGGGAAGCCTTCTGCATCCATCTTGGTGACAGATGTGGCAAACTCACCTGCAATGGCGTGTTCGAGCTCAGCTCAGGTTGCCAAAGGTCCCTGTGCACTGCGGCGTCACTGCGCACCTAGGACTTCCAGAGCCCTTTGACGGTAGGGAGCTTTGTGCGCTTCTCGCTTGGCCTTCCATCCAACAGGCAAGATCCCAATCTAAGCTTTGCGAAGCAGCAAGAGCGAGGCCCTGGCTGTATAGATCTGGGAGAGACTCTTCATCGCTTCCTCCTCACCTGGGGCATCTGAAGACATCTGGCCTTTCTGCAAGCTGAGCCTCTTAAGGCCCTCTCTAGAAAAAATCGGAATAGGAGGAAATGACGACTGGGAAAGAAAGTCGGAGACCAGTCCAACCAAAAAGACCACTGCCTTGAAACCACTGGCTCCCGGCTCCGACTCCAGCTGCCCTTTAAGCGCCAAGGCACCACTCTGGTCCCCAAGCTCCTGGAAAATCGTCTGTGCCTGTCGGGCTGGTGGCGGGTGCCTACTACGATCGCTCAAAGAGCGGGCTTGCTCGCACCTCCTGTGCACAGACCAGGGCTTCGGAGTATTGCTTCATGCCGCTCCGCACCTTCACGGCCGTAGCTGCAAAGCCGCTGCTATGACCACCGACACAGAATGCCGACACAACTACACCAAGAGCCCAGATTTTTGTGGACGCGAGCCCATCGAGTGAAGACCCCAAGC